ACTATTCATTTATTTATTCATTTATTGGCTTAGTCACACATAGCTCATGTTCTTTTAACTTGTACTTATGGAACTTGATTTTATATAAATTATCATTTTTTTTTAAGATTTTATTTATTCATTTGACAGAGAGACAGCCAGAGAGGAAACACAAACAGGGGGAGTGAGAGAGGGAGAAGCAGGCTTCCCGCTGAGCAGGGGAGCCCAATGTGGGGTTCCTTCCACATGACCTGAACCAAAGGCAGATGCTTAACAGACTGAGCCAGCCACCCAGGTGCCCCTATACACATTATCTTAAATACCTCATAATATTATGTGCACTTTTCATTTAAAAATTTTTTTTTCATTTTTGGGGCGCCTGGGTGGCTCAGCTCGTTGAGCGTCTGCCTTCGCCTCAGGTCATGATCTTAGGGTACTGGGATTAAGCCCCACATCGGGCTCCCTGCTTTTCCCTCTCCCTCTGCCGCTTCCCTTGCTTGTGCTCTGTCAAATAAAGAAAATCTCTAAAAAAATTTTTTTTCATTTTTAAAATTTTTTAAGATTTATTTATTTTAGAGAGACAGCAAGCATGACAGCATGCGCAAGCACACAGCCCAACAATCCCAAGACCCTGAGATCACGATCCGGGCCAAAATCAAAAGTCAGACACAACCAACTGAGCCACCCAGGCACCCCACTTTTAACATTCTTTTTTAAATAAGTAATCTCTATACCCAACATGGAACTCAAACTCACAACCCCAAGATCAAGAGTTGCATGATCTATGAACTAAGGCAGTCAGGCGCCCCTGCTTTCCATTTTATAGGTGACAAAACAGAAGATTATAGAAGCTGTGTAACCTGCCTGATATCACATAGCTACTATAAGACTCAGGACTTTAACTGAAGTCTGCTGGCTCTACATCCAGTTAATTTTTTAGTTATACCCATGTGCTGTTTTATAGTCCCAAATATCAATGTCATAAGAAATAAAATCAGCAATCATTTATTCCTTCAACAATTATTTTGTGATGTTTACATACTGGGTTCTGTGTAAGTGCTGGGGTACAGAAAAGATCAGGAAATTCTCTGTTCCTAAGGGACAGTTAAGCAAGGTTTCACCAAGGAAGGAGCATTCCAGTTCAGTCAAGTCTCAACTCCAGGTGAGGAGGAGAAAGGCATTCTAAGCATGAGGACCAGGATACACACAGGTGTGGAGACAAGACACCAAGACACATTTTAGAACAAAGGATATGTATGTACAAATAGTACAGATAGGTATCATTAAGTGAGACCTGGACAGAATCTAGAAGGAAAATATACACTGAAAACACTCATGGTTAGAGTAAAACAGCAAAGGGAGAGGAAAGAATTTACATGACATGCTTAGGAATCAGAGAAAAGACTTAGAGTTGCACAGTCAAATTTTCATGGTAGAGAACCATAAAACCTAAGCGTGGAGCCAGTTAACAGTGAAAACTGAGAGCAGCAGCATGCTAACCTGTACCAAGCTCTTAACTCTGCCAGAAGAAGTACTAAGTACTCTGCATTTGCAAGATATTTAAGCACTTGTATATTCATTCCCATTTTGTATATGAGAAAACTGAAGATGAGAGGCTAAGTAATTTGGGCAATATCACATAGATGGTAACTGGCAAAGCCAGGATGCAAACCCAGGACTCTTAACACTGTACTTCAATGTGGTATATATATACAATGGAATATTATGCAGCCATCAAAAGGAATGAGATCTTGCCATTTGCAACGACGTGGATGGAACTGGAGGGTATTATGTTGAGTGAAATAAGTCAAAAAGAGAAAGACATGTATCATATGATCTCACTGATATGAGGAATTCTTAATCGCAGGAAACAAACTGAGTGTTGTTGGAGTGGGGGTGGGGTGGGAGGGATGGGGTGACTGGGTGATAGACACTGGGGAGGGTATGTGCTCTGGTAAGCGCTGTGAATTGTGCAAGACTGTTGAATCTCAGATCTGTACCTCTGAAACAAATAATGCAATATATGTTAAGAAAAAAAAAAAGAAGAAGAAGAAGGTAGCGGGAGGGGAAGAATGAAGCGGGGGAAATCGGACGGGTGGACGAACCATGAGAGACGATGGACTCTGAAAAACAAACTGAGGGTTCTAGAGGGGGGGGGGGTGGGAGGATGGGTTGGCCTGGTGGTGGGTATTGAGGAGGGCACGTTCTGCATGGAGCACTGGGTGTTTTGCACGAACAATGAATCATGGAACACTTCATCTAGAACTAATGATGTAATGTATGGGGATTAACATAAGAATAAAAAAAAATAAATAAAAATAAAAACACTGTACTTCAGATACACTATTCAATTTGCAAAAATATAAGAATCATCACAATTTCATGGCAATAATTCTGATTAGCTCTTAATTCAGATCCTTCACGTGGAGGTTAATGAACTTCTTGAAGCCTCATTTTCATTATAAAATACAAGAAAAATGATGCTCAGCAGAATTCTTTTTTTTTATTATTTTAAAAAGATTTTATTTATTTGACAGAGAGAGAGACAGCGGGAGCAGGAACACAGGCAGGGGGAGTGGGAGAGGGAGAAGCAGGCTTCCCGCTGAGCAGGGAGCCCAATGCGGGACTCGATCCCACGACTGAGCCTCCCAGGGCCCCGCTCAGCAGAATTCTTATAAAGACCAAACAAGCCGTTTACTTAAAATACTCTGTAAATTTAAAAAGTACAATGTCATACACTTGAGGGTATTATTATACATATAATCTATCTTTGTCTATACCTCTTCGGATATACAGGGAGTCTGTATTAGAAGCTTCCCTTGCTTGTGCATTTAGAACTAAATGGAGAAGTTTGAATAAACCTTATGTCTGTTGGGTTAGGTTTACTTATTCCAGGTTTCTTGGTTTAGTATACAGAATCAATGGGTTAGCTTGTTGTACCATTCTGTTAAGTTTCTTAGGTGTACTTAAGAAAGGTTATTTGGGAGGGGATTGAGGTGGTGGATAAGAAACATATACACATAGATACATGCGTTTGAACAATGATAAGACAATTTTTTTAAAAGTCTGGTAAATTAAAGTTTATATTCCTCCCAAAACACTATGCTACCAAGTTTAGATTAAACAAATTGAAATACTTTGGGTTGCTATAGTTCACCAAATATTCATATTAAGTTTAAAATAAACATATCAGGGGAGCCTGAATGGTTCAGTGGGCTAAGCGCTTGCCTTTGGCCCAGGTCATGATCCCAGGGTCCTGGGATCCAGCCCCTCACTGGGCTCCCTGCTCAGTGGGAAGTCTGCTTCTCCCTCTCCCCCTGCTTGTGCGCGCTCGCTCTCTCTCAAATAAATGAAATCTCTTAAAAAATTTAGAAAAAAGAAGTAAAATAAAAGTATCCGCTATGTTCTCTATGATAAATAAAAATTTTATTTTCCGTTTTAAATTATAACCAAAACTGTACTATTTTTTTTTCTTATTTTAAATTTAAATTTTAGGTAGTTAACATACAGTGCAATATTGGTTTTTTTAAACAATGCCACTCAGAAATCAAAACAAGGAAAACAAAACAAAGAAAAGGAAAACAAGCTATACTAACTGATGCACTCTAAAACCAGATTTCTGGGCAAACGCTAGGTTGTTCTTCTCTAGACTGAAATTTCTACAGCTTTAGGCATAATTTATTTTTTAAGAAGATTTTATTTATTTATTTGACAGAGAGAGACACAGTGAGAGAGGGAACACAAGCAGGGGGAGTGGGAGAGGGAGAAGCAGGCTTCCGCCGAGCAGGGAGCCCATGCGGGGCTCGATCCCAGGACCCTGGGATCATGACCTGAGCCGAAGGCAGACATTTAACGACTAAGCCACCCAGGAGCCCCCGGCATAATTTATTTTTTTTATTTTCGGGCAGTAAATCCGGTGTACATAGTCTAATGAAAGTAAAATTTGAAACTGACTAGCAGAGAAAGATTCGGGTTACAAAGTGTCTGGTGAGGAACAGAGACAAGGAGGAAAACAAACTTTCCTGTGATAGAGAAAAAGAAAACTCCGGCAGAACTGCTCCCTCACAACAGGACGAGGAAATAAGTACAAGCCTTTGGGAACAATCCATCTGTATTACAAGAAGTTTCAAACATACTTGGGCCCACTTCTCTGAATATTGAGGTCAAACACTATAAAACAGGAGGAAAACTGGGACGTCCTCAAGAATCAGAGACCATAAAAACAAAACAAAAAAACCCACGAACTCCCCGGAGGAAAGTGTGTATTCGCAGTACCGAATCTAATTCCAGCATAGTTATCGATAAATAAAAGAGGAACACAGCTCCCTTACCTTGTTTTCATTCTCTGACACCTACCCTGGCCAATCTAACCACCCCTTTTTTGAGTAACAAGTCACTGCAGAAGTAAAATCTTACTGTTTCGTGGGCCCACTTGAGGTGCGGGGCGAGCCGGAAGCCAAACGAGTAATTTGGGACGCCCCCCACAGCCCTCCGCCGGCCACTCAGGCCCTCTCGGAAGGCCGGGCAGGCGCAGAGGGCTCCGGTCCCCAGTCAGCTTCCCGCCGGTCCCTACCCGGCCGCAACCGCCTCAGCACGAGAAAGAGCCCGCCGCGTCGGACCCCGCGTCCATCGGGGGGACGGGCCCTCCCGGGGCTCAGCCTCACCTTCCGCGTCTGCCGAAGAGACAAAGGTGAAGTCCCCGTTCGTAGGGGAATACGCCGGGGGCGGGCCCGGCGGCTGCATCTCGCGGCCCCTCTGCGGCTGGGCCTAGGCCCCAAGACGGCCGCGGCACCGGCCCGCACGCGCGCCTTACGGTGAGGCCCGCGAGCCGGGAGGAGCAGACTGGGAGCGAGGCCGGAGACGAGCTGCCCCCGAGACTGCCCCACCGAAGTCCTTTAGGTGGCGACCGCCTAAGCACCACGACGCCGGCGCCCTGACAGGACCATAACAGTGACAGCGGCCCTTGGATTGGCTCTTTGTAATGTGCTCTCCCATTGGCTCCCGGGAGAAAGGTTCCGATTGGATCTCCCTGTTGTTGATTCCGGAAGTTGACCCAAGGACGGGAAGTTCACTTCTAATTCTTGGAACCTCTAGGCTTCTGACTTCTTGGCTGCTATTGTTTACTCTACGGCTCTTCGCTTGTGGCTTTTCTTTACTTGTTTACAACGTTTTTGTTAACTGGATGGGTTACAGAATTTTCGAACTAGGAATGTTCCTAGAGGTCAGCTCTGGTCTAGGATACCAAGATTGCTTTGCTTTTAGTCATTGACTAATTGTAATGGGATTTTGAGTAAATTCTATAGCGGCTCCGAGAGTCACCTGTGAAAGGAATGAGGTTGGATTGGATAATAAAAAAGCAGATTAAGTTGTAAATTGCCACCCAGAACTAGGGCTGTAGTCTAGCCACATTATGAGGGAGACAACTGAGATCAGAAAAGGTAAGGAAGGAACAGAATTAGGATGGTACTCTGCACTTGATCTTAGCCAAAAGGCCGAGAAGGATGGTACTCTGACTACTAGTCCAATGTTCTTTTCACTACAAGGCCCTGTCTGTTGATAAACTTAACCAAGTTTACAGACCCATCTACGTTTTTAAATGTTTAAATAAATATACTTAAATTTAATATCCAAGCTACATGACTGGCTTTCAATCTGGAGGGAGAGGGTTTGAGGGTAAAACATGAGACAGACTTGGAGAGATGCATCAGCAGTAGAGCAATGGGAAGGCCTGGCATGGCCATCAATGAGTAAAAGGGAATATTGAAATTTTTTGCATAGGAGGTAACAATTAATTTGGTACCTAAAGGATGGGTAAAAAATTCCGGGCAAAGAGGTGTGGGGGGCTGTCAGCTTGGGTGGTAACATTCTAGAGATCATTTAATGGACTTGGGAAACGAAGTCATTAGTTTTCTTGGAGCTTAAGTCTCATGGGAGAAAATGGCTACAGATGAGAATGCATGAATAGGTAAAGAAGAGATCATTAGGGACGCCTGGCTGGGTCAGTGGGTTAAGGGTCTGCCATCGGCTCAGGTCATGATCCCAGGGTTCTGGGATCCAGTCCTGCATCAGGCTACCAGCTCAGCGGGGAACCTGCTTCTCCCTCTGCCTGCTGCTCCCCCTGCTTGTGCGCTTGCTCTCACTCTCTCTCTCTCTGGCAAACAAAATGTTTTTTAAAAAAGAAGAGATTGGGGTGCCTGGGTGGCTCAGTCGTTAAGCATCTGCCTTCGGCTCAGGTCATGAGCCCAGAGTCCTGGGATTGAGCCCCGCATTGGGCTCCCTGCTCCGCAGGAAACCTGCTTCTCCCTCTCCCACTCCCCTTGCTTGTGTTCCCTCTTTCACTGTCTCTCTCTCTCTGTCAAATAAATAAATAAAGTCTTAAAAAAAAAGAAGAGATCATTAATAATCTTGCATGCTGTTCAAAGGATTAGCTTTTTTTTCCCTGAAAGTGTTGGAGGAACCATTAAAGGAATTAGAGCAGAGGAATGACATATCAGATATCCCTGTTAGAATTATTACTTAAAATATCCACAGTAGTGGGTATTTTGACTTGAAGAGCAAAGACTTGTATGAGACTTTTGCAGAAATATAAGTAAGTCCTGGACGAGGGTTGCAGCATTGGAGATGGAAAAGAGGAAACATACTTGAGATATATTAAGTTTAAGAATCCACAGGACTGAGTGGTCAATGGGAAGAGATTGGACTAAAGAAGACGAAAGAGCCTAGTGTGACTTCATGTTTCTTGCTTAAGTGGTTGGAAGTGTTATTCGTCAAGTGTGGAAACAGAAGAAGATGAAGAAGAGGACGTCGTGTGGGGAGAGGGGAAAGTTTTGAACACCATGAGTTTACGAATATGCAGGTTGAGCTGTCTAGTTATTCTTTGGTAATAAGGACCCAGTGCACAGAGTTCTGATCTGGAGATAAAGTGTTGTAATCATCAATGTATGGTTGGTAATTGCATCTATGAGTACAGATGAGATTTCCCAGGAAGAGTGTGGTGAGTGAGGGTAGAGTGCCAAGAATAATACTCTCCGGAACACCACCATTTAAAGGCCATGTAGGAACGGTTGGCCTGCAAAGGAGGTGAGATGAGTTGCAATTTAAAACAGGATGGTCAGAATAGGCAAAATTGGGAAAGTGACAGTTGAGCGAAGATTTGAAGGATGTGATCATTTGTACTGGATCCACTCAATTAAGTTGGAACTATGATTTGTAGAATTCATATTCCTATATGCCTTCAGATTAGAGTTTCTCAAAAGAAGAGTTTGCATAAGATTTGTAAGGTAGAAGTGAAGCAGTAGCCATTGCACTGTGAGCCTCTTCTTAGATGTGGTGATGGACAAGTGCAGAGGGTTCCAGCTTCTCCTGATGGTCCTATGGTTTGCATTCAACTGTTCTTGCTATTTGCAAACCCTGTCAACCAACAGAGGCCACTAGACAATTAGCTGTGACCCCCACAGAGGTGTAGCTACCCAGATCAACTGATTTTGTCAGGCTCACCTCAGGAGTTGGATGTGCTTAGCTTCTCAAATCAGTTGGTGACTCCTTCTCTGGTTCTTCAACTCCCTCTTCTAAACCTGCATATTCCCAGCCATTATATCTTCAGATAATTTCTCTATCCCTTTCTCTCTTTCTCCTTGTTCGGGGATTTCCTTAATATATATTTGGTCCACTTGATGGTGTCTCACAAGCCCCTTATGCTCTGATCACCTTTCTTCATTCTTTTTTCCCCTTCTTTGGAAGGAATATTCTCAAATAAATAAATAAATCTTAAAAAATATTTTCAGCACATTGAAGATATTCCATTGTCTTTTGTTTTCTAGTTGCTGTTGAGAAATGAGCTTCATTTCACTGAAGACGATTTTTCTGTTTTCTTTGGTTGTTTTAATATGTGTTTGCCTTTCTGTATGCAGAGAATGGAAACGGAAATGAGTAAGTGGTATGGATTTCTTTTTGGGAAAACTGCTTGGAATTTATTGGGTAACCTGAACCTCAAGGTTGTTGTCTTTCTTCAGTTCCTGAAAATTTTAGTTATTATCTCTTCCAGTAGTGTCACTACTCTTCTCTCTCTCCTCTCCTTCTGAAACTCCAGTTAGATATATAACAGTAATAGTAACACTTCCAGGATACTTTTAGCTAACAGTTCCATGGCACTTACTATGTGCCAAGTACTACTCTAAGTGTTTTTTTTTTTAAGATTTATTTATTCCAGAAAAAGAGAGAGCGGGTGGGGGATGAGCAGAGGGAGAGAGAATCTCAAGCAGACTCTGCACCGAGCACGGAGCCCCACATGGGGCTCAATCCCATGACCCCAAGGTCATGACTTGAGCCGAAACCAAGAGTCAGATGCCCAACCGACTGTGCCATTCCTGCCCCACTACTGTAAATGTTTTACATTAATTCATTTAATCCTCGTTACAACCTCATGAAGTAGGTATTCTTACTTTCCCCATCTCACAAATAAGGAATATGAGGCATATAAAAGTTAATCACGGGCACCTGGGTGGCTCAGTCGTTAAGCATCTGCCTTCGGCTCAGGTCGTGATCCCAGGGTGTTGGGATTGAGTCCCACATCGGGCTCCTTACTCAGTGAGGAACCTGCTTCTCCCTCTGACCCTCTCCCTGCTTGTGTTCCCTTTCTCACTGTTTCTCTTTCTGTCAAATAAATAAAATCTTAAAAAATAAATAAATAAATAAATAAAAGTTAATCACTTACCAAAGATCACAGAAATACTAATTGGCAAAATCAGGATGTGGACCCTGGTAATCTGACTCCAGAGTTCTGACCACAATGCTCTGAAACCTCATTGCGTTTTGCTACTTTTCAGAGTTCATTATTCCCCCTTTGATGCTTAAGTTTTTTGGTGGTGGTGGTTTGTTTTGTTTTGTTTTTGGCTCTGTTCAAGTTAATGGGTCACTTCACACAGCTCTGGTTGTTTACTAAATGTGACACCTTGCATTCAACTTGCAGTAGCAACAACAGAATTTAAAAGAGTAGTTTTGATGTCGCTGCTCAAGGGCTGCTACACTCAGTCACTGGGTTGTCATATAGTCTTAGTAAATTGTAGACATCCATTCCTCCAATCTAGACTTTGGGCAGCTAAGGTCAGGATATTTCCAGACTGTGATTCTTGTTTCTGGAATCTTGTTTCAGGAATTCATGTCCTGTTTTGGTTCTTTAAATATGGCTTTGTTGACCTTCTAGGAGTGGTACAAATGCTATGTTTAATTTGCTAATTTGACTTTCATGTTTTAAATATTGTTTAGGAGGGCTAGTTTAGTCACACTAAGGAACTTTAACTATGATATTCATTGAGACTACTTCAAACTCAAGTGGGAAACCCGTGGCTTGTTTTTTGGTTGTTTTTATAACTTTTTTTTCTTATGTTAAAATTAATGCGTACTTATTAGAGAAAACAGAAAGGAAAAACCACCCTATTATATTATCTATAGAGGTAAACACCATTAACATCTTCATGTAAACCTTTACAATCCTTTTTCTAAGAATTTTGGGTATAAAATATATTATTTCACACACATTGTTTTATAACATTAACACTTTCAATGTCACCATATATTTTTCTACATTTTTAATGCTGCCTTTTATTTCATTTAATGAAGATGTTGTAATTATTAAAGCCAATTCGCTATCTTTGGACTTTGGATTTCTTTCCAAATTTTCATAATTATAAACAGTACCATGATAAACAACCTTTTAGCTGTACCTTTGTACATATTCATGAATGTTTCCTTAGTATAAGATCTTCAAAGAGAAATGACTGAGGTCAAAGAGGGCGCAAATATTTAAAGTATTTAAATACATACTGCTAACTTGTCCTGTTAGAGGTAGCAACAGGTTGTACCTCCACTGGCATAATGTAAGAGTACTTTTTTCCCCTACTCTGTCTCCATTATCAACACTGGCTATAATCATTTTTTTAAACATG